CGTACATAATATCTTATTTTGCATAATATTCATTGCATACACAATATAATTAAATCATAAGTATTATTTCTAAATAAGGTGAACTAAATAGGGCCTTATTTCGCCAAAAAAAAAATGTAGGGCATTATTACATATTTAGTTAACCTTATTTCAAGACCTTATTACTTATTTTAAATTAGAACAGAAAAATTAAATTATGAACATACTTTATGGTTTTAGGTGCGGTTTTTTATTGCTAAAGATCTATAATTTCATAATGAAAAAAAATATGAAAATTACATATTAATAAAATGCACATTATTACAATCAGACTAGATCAAACTAGGTCCGATCATGCAAGCTAATTTATCTTGTATATATAGGCATGCTATGGAGGTAATTAAATAAGAAAGTTTGAGATTGTTAAGATAGGTTTATTATTATGTTATAAAGATTTGGTTTTGTGTAGGTTTAGGAAAGTGATACGTGGCAGAGTTTTATTGGGTTTGGGACTCTGGGTTATGTTTACTAATCTATAAATATTGTTCTCATCAATACAATTCAAGAAATTCACCTCACAAATATTTGTGTCGAAGGTTTATCTGAGATGGCTGGTGATATTTTGTGGAATCGACAAAAATAAGGTGTTTTCAATCTCAGATTTTTTTTTATTTTTTATTAATTAATTTATTATCATGACAATTCTAATTTGGTTTCATTGTTATGATCATAACTTAACAACAAATATAAATTACTCTTATTACGAGTCATAAATCTATGGAGTGTACTAATTATTGTTTGTTGAATTGATTCATTTATTAGTTCGAATTGTTTCCCATGTTTAACAACAATTTAGTTTATTTTTCTTGTTAATGTGCCGGGGTTCTCATAATATTATGAAACAATGGCTAGATTCCTACCTTAACATATAACCCTAATTCTAATTTTGTTTTATCAAGAAAATTAAAAACAAAGTACGAAGTAGTACTTTGAATTTGGTGATTATATATACAAAAGGCTTTTATTTGGTGATTATACATATAAAAGATTTAATTTGGTGAATTATATTAGAAGGTTCTCAGTCATATAAGATAGAATCTGATGAACTCAATTGTATTGTTTGGTACTTGTATAATTTCAAGGTTGCCCCCTTAACAACAATTGGTAGGGAATTATAACCTAACTATTTAGTACTGATCCCGAATCTAAATTAGTCCAAAAGGTGAATTGGGTGAAACACCAAAAAAAATCTAAGGTTGTTTCCTTTTTTTTTTTTTTCGGGATAAGGTACAATTCTCTTATTGTTAAGTTTCAGGTTTTATGAAGAACTTATTATCAAACTACCAAAAAGAAACTATTATTAGTGTGATTAAAAAATTTGCAACTATTTAACGGAGGTATATATATATATATATATATATATATATATATATATATATATATATATATATATATATATATATATATATATATATATATATATATAGTTTATTGAAATCGTATGACACCTGCAAAATGTATTAAAATTAAAATATAAAGGGCCCAAATATATACTTTGTATTGTAGAACAGACCCCCACAACCATTAAGACGGCCTAGTTTGTAAAATCATAAAACTTCCTATCATATACTTGTATTTAGTGAAACCGAATTTCATGATTGATATTGTTGGACGTGGATGGCCAAAGAAGAAGAAAAAGTGTGTTGAATTTATTAAGGAATGGCAAAAAATACAACGTCTCAGGAATATGGAATGAGTTGTTGGGGTTTAAGTCATGGTTGGATATAAACTCATGATGATGCAACTCGTAACATGTATTTGTTCAACCCTCTTACCAACACACGACTCAATCTCCCTTCATTGCCTAAACGGAGATACTTTGGCAATTATTTCGTAAATAGAGCAGCCATATTCAAGGATGGTGTTGATGATGATAATGCGGCTGCTTCTAATTTACTAGTGGTTCTAATTTATGGTAATTCCATTTCATGTACTGTCACCTTTGCCAAGCCAGGTGACACCCAATGGACCGAGTTTTTCTCTAGAAGAGCCCCTATAATAGATGTTCTATATCGCGTTGTTGATGGAAATGCCAGACTTTTATTTTTGGAATCAAGATGGTAACCTTGCACATTGTCACTTTAACCTTGGTGGTCAAGAATCTCAACCTCCTACTAAGAGGTTAACTTGGTATGACTCTAAGCTCGAGCTCCTACACGAACAATTTTGGATTAAATATTCTGATCAATATAACTACAATGCATATCTTGTTAATTCTGGTGAGGATCTTCTAATGGTTTCGAGGATACTTGAGTTGGATCAACGCATATACGACCCAGACAATACTATTGGTAATTATAGAATGGTGTATTTTAGGGTCTATAAGTTTCTCTTTGATGCCAACCAATGGGAGGAGCTAGAAGATTTGCAAGATGTTGCACTTTTTGTAGGTAACAATGAAACTATGTCAGTTTGTGCAACTCACGCAGGTTGTCAACCCAATAGAATTGGAGGACATGATATGGGTGTCTTTCAAATCAAGGATAAAACTATTTAACCTTTTAATGTCCAAATTAATGGTCTTTCACGCTCTTCCTACTGTTCTCCGTTATGGTTTAGTCCTGCACTTTAAACAACGTCATGTAAAAAGAAATTTTCTATATATCTTTATAATTTTTTTTTTTAAAATCTGGTAATTGATATATCTTTATAGATTAGTAATACTCTTGTGAAATCTAGATTGTATGCTATTAACTTGCCAAGTCTTCATTTTTTTTGTTCTCTGAAAGTTATGCTACTACGTATTAGGTATTTAGGTGATGCGAATGCAATACTCCATGAACAAATGTAGCATTTTTGAGCTGTACTTGTGACTAAAAATGCTGAAATAGACTTTTTTTATTTTAATATTACTAATTTAACTAGATTAAAATTTGTTCGATGATAATTGATAAATTTTGAAAAAGAACATATTAGACGATGCTTTTTGGTTTGTCATAATTAAAATGAAATATAGTTTTCAAAAGAAAAACGATTACATTTTTTTTTTTTTTTGGGGGAAAGAAAAATGATTACATGATCGTTTTTTATTTTCTGTTATTTATTTTTTAAACAAAAAACCAAAAATAGGAAACTAAAAAAAAATTGTTTTTACTTTTGTATTGTCAATTTTCAATTATCATGATTTTAATAAGTTTGACCAATTTTGTATTCATAATATCACATGTATCATAAGGTTTTGAAAAACAAAAAACCCAAAAATCGAAAACTACAACAATATCAAACAAACCCTTAGCTTCTAGTAATTCATGATATATTTTACTGCGAAGGTATCATCGTGAAGGAAAATTAATGCTATTTTGTAACGCAAAAAAAAAAAAAAAAAAAAAAAAAATCTTAATGTAAGGGTACGTGGAATAGCTTTGGTTCTTTAATTTTATTTATTTTTTAATTTTTTAAAAATATATGATATACTTCATCTGTTTTTTTTTTTTTTAATAACTTGCAACACGCCTTTTTATCACGTTAGTTGTGAAGTGATTTGAAAAGTTAAAATGACGAATTTTAAATCATAACAATTTAACACTTTCATCTTACTGGTAGAAAAATTATATTAATTAATTTGTTTGTTTAGCTAATCTAATATCATCCCTAAAGTGTGTGCCGAATTTGTGTGCTGCAAGTAAAAAAAAAACGGAAAAAGTATTTCATCAAATGAGTACTCCGTAAAAAAGAAAAAAGTAATCAAACTAATTAGATAGAATCGTCATAATTTTTAAAATCGACAATAAAAAAAAAACACACAAACCACTTTTTGATTTCTTGTTTTTTTTCCTTTTTTTTTTTTTTTTTTTACTTTTTAAGGTAAAAAATATAATTCTCTATTTATTTTTCACGGAGGCAAATCGAGGCATTTCTTAACAGGAAAAATGACATTTATGATTTTTTTTTTTTTTTTTTTTTTGCCAATTTTGTGCTCAATTGGACTCGTAAGGGCCAAAATGACCCAAAATCTTAACTGAACATTTTTTTTACATTCAAAAAGAATGACGAGCGACACACAAAACGAGATATTTTACAATATTTTTTTCAATTTCGAGCTCAATTTGGACCCTGGTGACTAAAATGACCCTCAAAGTCAAAACCTTAATTGGACAATTTTTGGCACATAAATTGAGACAATGGGTGTTAATTAAAAAAAAGGGGTAGTTTAGTCTTTCCTTAATCAGTTAACTTAAACTGGTGTTATTTGCTAGTTATTAACAGTGTCAGTCATTGCTAGTAAGAAACATAAACCACAAGTGTATCACTAGGAAGACAAAAAGTTAATAATGTGCAAATGGGAAAAGTGAATTCTAAAGTGGTAGCAATGGAAATCTCTGAGAGTCTGCTAATTGTGTTATAGTTAGCTCTTCGGGTTATGTGTTGTTAAGCCCAATTTAGTTTGTATATATACACTCTTCTCTACAGTAATACAAACCACGGAAAATTAATTCCTAGCATGGTATCGAAACCTCTAGAATTTTAAAACCCTAAAACCTAAAACCTAAAACTCTAAACTCTACAAAAAAAAATTTCTCTGATCGTGATGAGTGAAGACGGCAAAATATATCTGTCATCTCCTTTCTACCTTGGCGCCGAAGATCAACCAGGGAACTTGATCACTCACGTGGTCTTGAACAGTGAAAACTACCTTGCTTGGTCCCGAGCAATTACTCTGTCCTTGAAATCAAGGCAGAAATATGGGTTTGTTGATGGCACAATCTCCAAACCGAGTGAGAAGAAGAAGATGCTTGACTGGGAAACGGTTAATTCAATGTTGGTGTCATAGATATTGCGAGCCATTGATGCTAAACTTGCGGCATCTATACCTTATTTTAACGAAGCAAAGAAGCTTTGGGACTATTTGGAGAAGAGGTTTTGTGCAGCTAGCGGACCTCGTCTTCAACAATTGCGAACTCCAATCACTAATTGCAAACAAACGAAGACTATGACGATTGAGGATTATTTTTAACACTTTGATGGGTTTATTTGATGATCTTAATCGTCTCAAGCCCCCTCATGGCTGTGAATGTGGACTTTGTGCTTGCAATGTTGCGGCAAAGTACGAAATTGATCGAGAGGAAGAAAAATTGCACCAATTTTTAATTGGCATTGATGATGATAAGTATGCTGCCGTGGGAACTAATTTATTGTCGCAGCAACCTCCGGCAACATTGGACCGTGCATATCAAGCTTTCCTTCAAGAGGAACGTTCTCGTGATATTGCTAATGGAAAAGCGCAAAAGGAGAAAGATGACGTTCATATTTTTGCTCTGCCGAATGATTGGTGGTCTAATTCTTCAGCGCATCGCATTGATAAGTCGAAGTTGTCTTGCTCTCATTGTAAACGCACTGGCCATGATAATTCTGGGTGTTTTGTGCTTCATGGTTATCCTCCGTGGTGGCTGGAGAAGTACGGCAAGAAGGGGGGGTCTTCGTCTGCAGGTCAGTCTCCTGCTCATCAGCCCATGTCTGCTGCCCCTGCTGCACGTACTCCTGCTGCTCCTACTACCCCTGCTCCATGGTGCGTGCTCATGCCGTAGGCAGCACCATAGGCACTGCCGATGTACCCTCAACCTCTCAGCAAGACAACGGTGGTGGTATTTTTTCTTCATCTGAATTTCAGCCCGAGCATGTTCGTATCCTCTTAAACATGATCAATATATCATCATCAGCAGGATAAGATGATTGGTGAGTACTTCTCTCTTTCTTGGATTATCGACGCGGGAGCCTCCCATCATGTGACTGGAGACGACTCGTGTCTTGTTGATCGATGTACAGCCCGTACCACCATACCCTGTTGGTCTTCCAGATGGTGCTCAGGCCGTGGCTACGAAAGAAGGCAGTGTGGTGTTGGCTGATGGAATAATACTTCGCCATGTTTTATTTGTTCCTAAACTAAAATGCAATTTAATATCGATGTCTAATTTAATTGACGATTCACATTGTTATGTCCGATTCACTAACTCTTTATGTGCGATACAGGACCAACTCTCGGGGAGCCTGATTGGAGGAGGTGAACGAATAGATGGACTCTACTATGTCCGGCAACTTCCTACAGGTTGTACGGTATCGATTCCGAAACTTTCTGCATTTGAGCTATGGCATCGTCGTATGGGGCATCCGTCAGACAGAGTAGTCAAGTTAGTTCCTGCTAATATTGCTAATTCTGGTAGAAAAAAATTGAATAAAGCTTGTGATATTTGTCCTCAAGCTAAACAATCTCGTGATCATTTTCCTAATAGTCATAATAGAGCTACTCGTATTTTTGAGATGATACATTATGATCTTTGGGGGTCGTATAAGACTCCTTCTACTTGTGGTGCACACTATTTTTTGACACTAGTGGATGATTTTTCTAGAGGAGTTTAGTTTTATTTGTTGAATGACAAAACTGAAGTGTATTATGCTTTTTGTTCATTTTTTGCAATGATGAAATGTCAATTTGAGGTGACTGTCAAATGTGTGCGTAGTGACAATGGTACAGAATTTAAATGTATGCTTCCGTACTTTAATGAACATGGCATTCTTTTGCAAACTTCTTGTGTTGGCACCCCTCAACAAAACGGTCGTGTTGAGTGCAAGCATCAACAAATTTTAAATGTAGGTCGTGCCTTAATGTTTCAAGGCAATCTTCCGATTGGTTTTTGGGGCGAATGTGTTCTTGGTGCGGTTTATTTAATTAATCGCACTCCTTCTCGTTTGTTGGGAAATAAGACACCTTATGATATGTTGTTTGGTAAAGAACCAAATTTTGATGAATTGAGGGTGTTTGGTTCTCTTTGCTTTGCTCATAACCAAAGGGCAAAGGGTGACAAATTTTCACCTCGTAGTCAGAAATGTATGTTTGTGGGATACCCTCATGGAAAAAAAGGTTGGAAATTATATGATCTAGTAACGTGGGACATCTTTGTGTCTCGAGATGTCAAGTTCTTTAAAAAATGAGTTTCCGTTTAAAAATGCTCAAGATTCGAGTGTCTCTCCTACTTTTTCTTCTACTACGCCTGATGACCGTGAGTTTCCTATGGATGAGGATTTTCTGGATGATTTAGAAAATGTGTTGCACGTGGGGGAGGTTGCGCTTGTTCCTGCTACCCCGGACAGTGATGTCCGCACCCCTGCCGCGGAGTACAGTCCCGCCCGCGCCTCCCCTGCATCTTCTACTGCTTCTACTACCGAGAGCAGTCCATGCCACACCCAGCCTGTTGGGACAAGCTCTAACCGCAGCCAATCTACGGCTGCTGCTGCTACACACCACCATGAGTTTTCGGATGGTGAGTTGGGGTCCTCTACTCTTGCTCTTGAACGAGGTCAGCGTGATAGACATCCACCGGGTTGGCACAAAGACTATGTCGCACATACTGTATCTATTCCAAGTCCATCTACTAGTTCATCGACCCCTCCTTGCTCCTCAGGTACTCCCTATCCTATAGCACATTTTGTGAATTGTGATAAATTCTCTATGCGACACCGTATATTTATTGCAGCTGTAGATGCGAAGGTTAAGCCTCATAATTTCAACAAAGCTACGAAGAGTGAGGGTTGGAGAGAGGCAATGCGAAAAGAAATCTCCACATTAGAGGATAATGAGACTTGGGTGATTGAGGTATTACCTCCGGGGAAGAAAGCTCTCGGATGCAAATGGGTTTATAAAATAAAACTCAATTCTGATGGTACGGTGGAACGCTTAAAGGCACGTCTCATTATTTTTGGCAATCATCAGGTCGAAGGTATTGATAATAACGAAACATCTGCTCCCGTAGCAAAAATGGTCATAGTTCGGGCATTCCTAACCGTAGCAGCTGCAAAAAATTGGAAACTGCATCAGATGGATGTTCATAATGCTTTTCTCCATGGTGATCTTGATGAGGAGGTATACATGAGGCCACCTCCCGAGTTTCATGGTTCGCAACATGGCTTGGTATGTCGCTTAAAGAAATCTTTGTATGGTCTTCGACAAGCACCCCGTTGTTGGTTTGCTAAATTGGTCGGCTCTCTAAAAAGGTACGGCTTTCTGCAATCGTACCCTGATTATTCTTTATTTACTTTGAATCATGGGCCTGTTCATCTAAGTGTTCTCGTTTATGTTGATGATTTAATCATTTCCGGGAATGATTCTTCTGCAATTTCTGCATTTAAGTCATATTTGAGTGACTGCTTTCATATGAAAGATTTGGGTGTTTTGAAGTATTTTCTTGGTATTGAGGTTGCACGGAGTCCCGAAGGCATTTTTTTATGTCAACGGAAGTATACTCTTGATATTATTGCAGAATCTGGTTTGTTAGGGGCGCGACCGGTCGGTTCTCTTATTGAGCAGAACCATACTCTGGCAAAATCAAAGTCACCTCTTATTGATGACCCCGAGATGTATCAGCTACTTGTGGGTCAATTGATTTATCTATCTTTCACTAGACCTGATTTGGCTTATAATGTTCATATATTGTCGCAATTCATGCACCAACCTCGATAGGATCATTAGGATGCCGCTCTATGTACAGTTCGCTATCTGAAAGGTTCTCCAGGTCAGGGAATACTTTTGAGATTCGTTAGTGTTTCTTGGTGGTTCTCCGATTTCTTGGAAAACCAAGAAACAACATATAGTCTCTAAATCGTCTGCAGAGGCAGAATTTCGTTCAATGTCGGCAATTACTTCAAAGTTGAAATGGTTAAAGGAGCTTCTTGAAAGTTTGGGAGTCTCGCATCCGCGTGCGATGAGCTTGTTTTGTGATAGTCAATCAGCATTGTATATTGCGCAGAATCCGGTCTTTCATGAGCGCACTAAGCATATTGAGGTTGATAGTCATTATGTTAGGGACGCAATTCAAGAAGGGGTCATTAGTCCGTTGTATGTGAAGACAACGGATCAACTGGCGGATATTTTTACTAAGGCCTTAAGTATACACCAATTCTCGTATCTGCTTGGCAAGTTGGGCATTTGTGATCCCCATGCTCCAACTTGAGGGGGGTGTTAGGCCGTATATTTATTTAGTCTGCTAATTGTGTTATGTATAGTTAGCTCTTCGGGCTATGTGTTGTTAAGCCCAATTTAGTTTGTATATATATACTCTTCTCTACAGTAATACAAACCACGGAAAATTAATTCCTAGCACTCTACCTGACTACCTCTGCTCCTCCTAACACAGCTATCTGGTCTAACCTCTGGAATGCTCAAGTTCCCCCAAAAAATTAAGCATTTTGGGTGGAGAGTCCTACAAAGAGCCATTCCTGTGCGACATAATCTGAAAAAAAGAGGCATTGGTGATGATGATGTTTGCCCGATGTGTGGTGAAGACACTAAAACAATTAAATACACTATGCTACTCTGCAATGCTGCTAAGGCTATCTGGTACCTCTTCCCCTTAAAATTGCAATTTTCAATCTTTCTCTTCGTGGTGTATGTCTATGGGAAGGGTTATTAAGGAGAAGCTTTGGTGGAATATTTTTTGGAGTACTCTTTAGGGTACATGGTTGAGAAGGAACGCATGGTGCTTGATAAAAAAGAGGTTCAGGTTGAGGATGTTATTTGAAGACCTGTCAATGACTTCTACAAACTGAATACTGATGCTGCAATTTTCAAGAATTAATATGTTGCATTGGGTGGAATTGGGATGTCTTGCTCTCTACTTGTCACAAGGTGAATGGATGCGGCTGAAGCTATGGTTGCCAAACATAGCCTTGGGGTTGCTCTTGAAGCTGGTCTCAACAAGCTCACTCTTGAATCTGATAATTTGAAGTTGTTCAGCACTTGAAGAGCATAAAACGACACAACTCCTACGTTGGTCAAACTGTAAACAACATCCTTCACCTTGCTAAGGCTTGCTCTTTTATTGCTTTCTCTCATATTGGTAGAGAAGGAAATAGTGTTGCTCATATTTAGCTCACATAAGGAAGAATTTTGTAGAGATGCGTGTATGGCTTGAAGAAGCCCTTTCTGATGTAAACGCTGCACTTGTTGTTGATCTTGCTATTGATTAATAAAATGTGAGCATTTCGCGTCAAAAAAAAAATAAAGTTAATGACTTTTGACACCTTTGTCCGCAGAATTCATGACTTTGAAAATAAGTCCCCAATTAAATTTAAAGGTTATGAGACCCAAGAACTAATAGTTGAAATTCATTATTATATTGTCGATTTCGATTTCTAAGAAATTGGGATGGAAACATATAGACAAACACAATTCAGTAGTATTAATAATCTCTTCTAATTTTGACTTAACATGAGCATTAAAAATAAAACATCAGGAAAAAATTTATCAACATTTAATGTCAATGAAAATTTAGAAATTGAATACAATAATATTACATTTACCAATGTTTTACTCGATTAAATTTCTAATTAGTAGATTAATAACCCCTAGTCTAGGATATTGTCATATTGCAAATTTCAATATCGGATAGAGAAAATAATATGTAATCATGATCATATTCGCTGGCACCAATTATTGCGCTTATTATGTATGATATCTTAATCATTATTGGTAATAATCTTCACCAAATCACTGATTCACCCCACCACAAACAATAATCATCTCCCAAAGTACCATCCACCAACCACTCGTCTCCTTAAAATACCATTCACCATTGAAAAACTCCTTCCCCCCCCCCCCCCCGACTATCATGGTCTGGGTCTAAGTATTTTGACACTTGGATTCATGTGGTGCATTCTCATCTACTGACAACAAAATTGCTAATCGGGTGCGAAAAGAGATTGTGAGCATGTAGCATCACAAGCAAGACGCAAGTTTGATAGGTGCCCTTGTATATTGACAACAAGAGCAGGGCCTAGGGTCCAGCAAGGCTTGTGAGTTGTGACGAACGATCAAATTGAGGCGGGAATAAACAGATCCAATAGCAAAATTTATCTATTTTCTATTTTACGATGCTTACATGTGGCGACACAATATTTATAATGAACTACAACAGCACAAAAAAGTATTAAAGCAAATAAGCAACAATGAGTAGAGGGCAAGTGGATAATAAAATTCAACCCCTCCTTCCCATCAATCCATGTACACTGCAACGTACCGTAATTATAAAATGGTCAAAGTTCTGGTAAGTTTTTCTTTTTCTTTATTTTTCTTTTTTTTGCGCAACATTATGTTCAAAATTTATACATTGAGTAGTTATTATTTGCTTTGTGAATGTGTTTATTCATGAATTTTGTGCTTGTATGGCTTAGCTTAACAACAACAACAACAACAACTAGGTCTTAGTCCCAAAATGATTTGGGATTGGCTAACAAAAACTGTTTGAAAAGAGCATAGCAAGATGGAATTTGTTTGAAAAGGAGTATAGTAAGGTAGACCATTGGATAAAGGATAAGGGAAAAACTATACATTCAAAATGAAATTTAAGATAATTTCACAAGGGGTGAAAGGGGTAAAAAGGAGAAGAAAAGAATCTAATGGAAAAGGATGGAGAAAATAAGTAGATTTGCAAAAACACGAGTTGAATATTACCAAATAAAATTAAATAAATACTTCGTAAAAAGCCATCATTATACTTTTCTCAATTCCCAAAACACTCAAATCACTCTTAATCACCTTCTTCCAATCTTTCTAAGGTCTTTCCCTACCCCTCTGATGGGCGTTAGAATGGTCGCACATTCCACACTCATTTAAACACATTTATAAGCAAACATCTCACAAACCAAGTACAATGATAAGTAAGAGTTCGGTCCATAAGGAACGGGATATAATCGCTAAAGATCTTAATACGCAAGCTAGTTCGAAGACTTATGTTGATTGGGGGTTCGACAAGTAGACAAACAAACTATTGTTCTAAATCAAGTGATTAAAAGCACTAGGGAATGAGATCCACTCAACCATGGCAATTAAGCATATTGGGAGTAAAAGAGACAAGAGATAGCAAGGACTATATGTAAGACCAACCTCATGCAATTAGGAAAACAACTCACACTCCCAAACTTAGATCCCTCATTATTTTAGCAATAGGAGATACGTAATCAAATTGCAATAAGTAATGACATACTTAATCTACATTTCCATGTCAAACTAAGCATAACATGCCATCAAGCTCCAAATTCAAGGGTAGCTAATCCTATCATGAAGAACTAACAAGCAATCTCATACAATCAATATAATCACAAATCAAACATCAATACTTCTCCCAAGTTTACTTAATTAATCATTAGGTTGAGCTTCACCCAACTCACAATTCATTGTGAGTAACATTCAAAGTTCCAAGTTGGTGTTCTAAGTAATTCTAAAATTGGGGAAAAGTGATTCACTATGGATAAAACTAACATGCAACAACAATTTATCAAGACTAAGAGAGATTCAAATGACTTGCAATAACAAAATAAAACCAGAAAATAAATAGTGACAAGTGAAAGAAATTACTATTGAAGCTTCAAATGTTGAATAAATGTTGAAAATCTGAGAATGAACCTTGAAGTTTTCTTCTACAATTATTAGATATTTGAGAGTTTCCAAACTAAATCATCCACTAATTAAATGAACTAAGGTACTAACTAAGAGGAAGTTTTTCTTTCTAAAACTATTCTACTCCGCTAATTCCCCTCTCTCAAAAACGATCTAAAAAAGGAACTTAAATAGTCCGTATAAAGTCAGCTGAGAACTTGAAAAGGTCCGACCGAACTCTGGGTAGGTTCGGTCGGACTCTGGGTAGGTTCGGTCGAACTCTGGGTAGGTTTGGTCGAACCTCCCTGATCCTTGTTTGGTCGAACTTTTGAGGTTCGACCCCTCCTGCAAAATTTCTGAAAACTAGTTTGAAACTGCCTCCTTTGCACCTTAGAGGTTCGGTCAAACTTTTCAAAAGTTTGACCACACCTTGGTTCGACCGAACCTTTCAGAGGTTCGGCCACACCTCCTCTTGCACTTCCTCTTCTTGCTTCCTCTCCTTCCCTTTTGCTCCTCTTGCCTTTGTCCATGCCTCCATACTTGGCCAAGGGGCCTCCCACCGTGATTAGGACCGCCATGGAACCTACAAAAGATAGCAAAAATCACGAGAGCAAGGGGATGATAAAATAATGCATAAAGATTATCAAAACAAGCGCAAATAAGCATACTTTTCATCAACACATAAAGAAGCCATAAGAGGAAAAATGAGATAGAAAAACCTAAGAAAAATATGAGGAAAGAGACCTAAACACTACCCCTAAGAGTGACATAAATGTCACTCATCACCCTCGCAATCCCAACACTTTGCCTCTCTTTAAATTTTCTTACCGACGCCTCACTTGGTCTCCTTTTCATATGGCCAAAATACCTTAGGCGATTCTCCCTCACCTTTTATTCCTAAATGATACCCATAATTTCTTCCTACTAATCTAACCAATCCTTTCTTGTATGGCCATCACATATCCATCGCAACATATGCATCTAAATCACATTCATCATATGCATGCAACAGTGCTTCACAACCCAATATTTCTTTACCATATAATGATGCAGGCATAATGTCGTTCAATAGAATTTACCCTTCAATCTATGAGGCATATCGGGATCACATAAAAACACTGTCGCACTCTTCCACTTCAACCAATATGCTTTGATCCTATATTCCTGTGCGCTACATCTCCATTTAATTCTCCATCGCTTAAGATAATAAATCCGATATATCAGAAGACTTCGGAAGCTTGTACAGTCCTTCCATCTAAGGTGATCATCCTTGTTTCTCACCCCACTAAACTACATTCTAAATATTGTCTTACTTTTGCTCACCTTCACAGCCACGAGATTCCAAAGTCCATTTCCATATTTCCAACCTATTTTTCATGTCTTCTTTCATCTCATCAATCGACACAACATCATCAGCAAAAATCATGCCCCATGGTATATCATCTTGAATTGATCTCATCAATTCCTCCATGACTGTAGAAAAAAGAAAAAAGAGCTAGATGTAGAAAATGATGAGCTCCAAATATAATAGGGAAATCTTTAGTTTTCCTAACAATGGTCCATACACTTTGCACTAGCTCTCTCATACATGTACTTAATCATGTCAATGTATTTTTGCGAATTGTCTCTTTGTTAAACATTAACAAGTACTCATATAACAACAGTAGTCCGCACACTTGATGAACTCCTATTGTAATAGAGAACTATTAAGTCTTCCCAGCAGTAGTCCGCACACTTGCGTTAGCTCACGCATACATGTCCTTAATGATGTCAATGTATATCCACAAAATGTCTTTCTTTATTAAAGCTTAAGTACTCTACAATATAACAACACTAGATTTTTCTCTTTTTTTTTTTTCCTTATCATTCCAACACTAGAATGTACGGTGCTAATGCATGGTATTTATCACGAGATTCAATAATTATTAGGGAAGTTTAATGGGATAGGTGATTATTAATAATGTTAATGGAGTAAATTGGTTTAGGGTTTTTTTTAAGGGAGTGCACGATATTTTACAAACCCGTCTATAGAGTATGAACTATACACAAAATACACGAGTTTGTGTAATCGTTTTCAAACAAGCTCCAAAACTTGTTTATGCACGATTTGTTAATCTAACAAAGAAAAATAAAATCCAAACAATAATGAGTCACTACTCACTAGTCATACATCTTTATAGCATTTAAACTATTACTACATCAAATTAAACATCTCGCATTAGTAAAAGAACAATAAGTATTCTCTACCTTCAAAAACTCAATGTAGAATTCTTTTCAATACCTATTCCTAAACCCAACCTGGAAACCTCTACCTCCTGTAAGAGCTACAAATATCTGCATAACATCATTCTGAACATTAAGTCAAATTCTGACTCAGCCAAAACTCATAATTATTGCCAAAGAGGACCTATGCAAAAACATCAAAGATGGGAATAAATACTTGAAACTCTGTACAAAATGGAAAGATTTATGAGAAGTCAAAACACCAAAACACAACTCTAAGGCAACACCAAAATCAAAATTGCCAAATTCATGAAGAACAAAAAATCAACCAACCCAGAATGCTGTAACCAACCACTGGATTATGCTGTAATCAACAACTGCATTATCAAAAACAATTCACTGCATTATCACAAAGACTAATTACATTTACTATGAGCAGTTTCATCACGAAACATCTAAGGTCGAAAATCTACAAAACCAACTCCCAAAAAAAAAATCAACATTAAGTGAAGTCATAGCCAGCTTAGAAAATATTCCAGCTACCTCACACAAAGTCAAATCAGACCTTCAAGATAGTAACAGTTCACCAGTTCAGTGCTCCGAAAGTGGCGGTGGCCTATTCACATCATGTCAGTATCAACAGGTGCACATTGAGAAAGAAGTGGAATTGGAAGGTAAAACTTAAGAGATGAGTGTTATATATTATAGCACAGAAGACAGCGAACACACACACACACACACACACACACAAAACAAAAAGAAAAAACACCAAACAAACAAACAAACAAACTGAACCAGCTTCACTAAGTAACTAACCCAAACACAATATGATTGGAACACAGTATAAAGACATGACTTGAAATTACATATGCTACTGAAGCCTGTAACAATTATGCATTATCCCATCCACGAAAAGTGAAGGCTTGTCCTGCAACAGGTGAATCATTTTTCTTTTAATCCCACAAAACACCCCTTCACACCCCATCCCCTGATTCTCTCCGCAAACGCCAAAACACATAGCAGTCTGCCAAAAACAAACAGCAGTCCAACAAACTGAAATAAAAAATTTGCTCGAACAAGCTTCCACAAGATTATTATTTCAAAAATATATGTGGGAAAGCAATATAGGAAGAGAGAAGAGGTTAGACAGGAAAAGGAGAGAAAAGGAAAGTTCAAGAACTATGCAAAAGATTACCTGAATACCTCACATGCTCAGTGAAAGACTAGCATGGAGTAAACTAATTTTTTCTGCCAAGAAAAATTAGCACCCATACAACCCAAAAAGACGAAAACAGAATCCGATCAGCAATGATAATGCTTCAAGAGAGTTAAATTCACACGGGAAGGGCAAAAATGAAAACAAAAATAAGGCAGCACTAAATGCTGCATAATGAAGAATTTGGAAAGAGAAGCAATGGATAATTGGACTCTCATATATTTTTCAACTTTCAAAGCATTTTACTTACAATTCTCTACCTTCTGGATATAAATTTCCTATATAAGCTCTGGATAATAAGACACTAAAATCCAATCAGATGTTCTAACATCTCAAGGAGTGTATTCTATTATTTAGCACGCTCCTTTAATGCTAAACTAAAGGCTATGGAAAGAAACTGTGAAATGAAAAAAAAAAAAAAAAAAAAATCTGTACAAGGGCAACAAAAATTTCAAGCACCCATTTACCTGCACAAACAGGACAAGGGTTTCAGACTTTTCAGTTAAATGAGAAAACCAGCAGGTCAGCAAACTAACAGCAAACCCCCCACTGTTATTGTCTCAATATAAAATCTAGTGAGCTGAAAAGTCTGGCGTCAATCAGCAAAGTAGCATAAACCCCTCTTAGTCAACCTCATAGCAAGTTAGAGGACTTCTGTATCTACAAATTCCAGTCAACACGAGAATAAACCACATCATCTCAGCAACCATCGGTTCCATTCCTGAAACATTTGAGAGTAGAAATCTTATGTGAAAGAGAGCTCTTGAAATCAGAAAAAGACTTCACCCACTCTTCTGAGCATCACTATTTTGCTTCCCGTATGAAGCTTTAACAGCCTCAGCAGTCATAATAGCAGCCACTGCCTTGTGCATTGCCAGATCTGCTCTACAAAGCATTCTCTGAGCATTCTCCCTTTTCATCTTAGCTATAGTGACGGCATGTCGAGCAGCACTTGCTGCATCACGCAGTCTAAACTCATCAAGCTCTGAAGGATCCAGATGCTCAAAGTTGTGCCTTTGGAACCCATCTGTCTGGTAAAGCATTTGACTGGGCCATTCAGAAGAACCCCATAAATTTACTGGACCTCTCTTGCCTGGAGTTCTCTGGCTGTAGGAAGATGGCTGCTGATCATTGGAGGATGGTATAAAGCATAGCTTTTTGGACTTATTTCTATAGAGTTTCGGGTAATGATTCCTCTCATACCCATCACTACTCAAAGAAAAGTATCCCCCACCCCCAGAATCCCTGGGTGAGAACATTCTTGATGATCCCTGAAGAACAGGAGAAGAGTCAGATGTCCCTTGATTATAGGCATTGTAGCCAAATCTTTCATCCCCAAAAGTGAAACCATTTAGTCTTCGGCCAACTGAATATATTCACAAGAAAAAGATAAGTTTCAGAGACAAAATGGCAAAGTCTAGCTAGACCACAAGAGTTAAAAAAAATAATTAAAAAAAACAATTAAACAAACCAATTATATGGTACCTAGAGAGTGAAAAGCATCTGTATCTCCTGAAATACCATTGCTCAGTGCACCAACTGGAAGTCTCTTTTGTGACCTCTGTTTCGACCCTCTATTTGGCAATTCCAATCCTCGCGGTTTCAAACAGAAAGCAAACATTGGAGGCTTCTCAATGGTCAAGGGTTTCTCCTGGCACCCACTGGAAAGGGCCAGGTTACTCTTTGCCATCACTTGTTCCCATTCTTTTACTTGCTGCTGATACTTTTCCCAGAGTGGAGGCTGCATGAAACACATACAGCTCCATCAAAAGTTCAAAGCAAGGAGAAGAATAGACAAAACAACCAGTATCCTAGCCTAAATAATACAGGAAAAAAAGGCCAAATTAGTTAGACATGGAGCATATAGTAGATGACAAAGATTGTGGTTTCAGATTACTTATTTCCTTTTTACCTCCCTAATTTTTCATAATCAACTAAGTTCTCAACATGCACCTTGTAGCACTCAGGCACCGCTGCTAAAAAGACTTCCCAATTGTTTTATCATCGATTATAAATATTTCTACCAGTAAAAAACTAGACATTCATCATGGTGGGCGATTAGCAAAGCCACTCACTCATAAATATTAAAATTAGACCAATCAAATTCTACATCACCCGGTACATTCATGTCTACAGCTCTAAAATCTAGTATACAAGTATACCAGTAAGTTCACATATATAATGGAGCTAACAGATTTTCCAGAACAAAATGCAGTAATTCAGGGGTCAATCAACAAAAACTATAATGACAAGTACATCTTAAACAAAGAAAGGTTGCATGACAGAAAATCAATTTCCATTAGTTACCCTAGAACCACCAATTGCTTCTTTGCAGGAAAAATGATTATCTGACACACATAAGCAAAACTGTCTGTGCAAACTAACACGACACAGCCATATATTATAATTACCAAGAACTCAGAGATGCAAAATACTCTAAGCCACAACATTATCAATGTCGGTACAAAAATGCAGACAAAGACAACTAATATCTCACATACAACTTTCAGAGAAGAAATAAATAAAAAATAAAAAAATAAAAAAAAAAAATCATTCAATTTCATTTCAAGAACAGTAAAGGGCAAGCAATTAAAAAAACAGCAAAGTGGAAGATACCTGTAGATGCCGGACCAAAGGCAACCCCTTTATCTGTCGTTTCTCCTTCCAGTACTCATAAATGATTTTAATTGCTTCGAATGGCCCAACCTCAGCTGTAAATTCCTCCAACTCATCCAAACTAAAGTCATCACGCTGTTTGGAACACGCAAATTTCTCAAGCACGTCAATAGTCTTCTCAAACATCTCATCAGAGATATTCCCACAGCCCCCTACATTACAATCTAAGTGTCTGTGTTTCATAATCCACCGCTCATCATCACTGTCCATATCATACAAAACACGAGATGAATTCATAGCAATTTCAATATCTGTTTCCAACTGTCTATAGTATTTGAGAGAAGGCCGAACAAATGGTACTTCAGGCACATTATCGTCATTTTCTTCAACCATACGAACCCCAGGAATGGGAATATTTTTCACAGATGCGGCACGAAAGTTCCTATTATAGCATTCTTCATGCATCTCCTTAAAAAGTGTCCACTGAGAACGGTCTGGAAATTCCAAGATCCAATCCTTTCCTCCTTTCCACATCATAGCATGTGTGTAGCGATTTGTTGTTCCAGGTTGCACAAACTGGTGTGCTTTGTAAGAATATTTGGTGTCCCCTGAAATTTTTACACCAAGCCTCCACTCATTATGATCAAAAAGCTCAAGAACAATTCTTGCCCCACATTCTCTCCACCCTCGGTCCCCAACAGTCACCAAAAGATTTGCCTCACAAGAACACAATTCCATATTTTTTTGAGAAGTCCCAAAAGCTTCAGATGTCTTCTTCTCACTAGCTCTTCTAATGCGTTTATGAGAAAAGCCTTTTGACTGATGAAATTTATTCTTAGAGTTAAAATCCTGTCCTCCAAATGGCAGAGAATATGAAACCTGAGTCCGTGGCTTCTTAGGTCCATTGCCAAAGCCACTACGGAGAAAGTCTTGTTTCCCGTCAATCCAACCCGGAGAGTGAATTGCAGAAGCCGAAGAACAAGTATGACCAATTCTACTCTTATCCCACATACTTTGAGAAGCAGTGAGATTTGGACTACATATCCCATCATTGGTATCTAAAGCTGAACCAGTAAAATTTTGAACGTTTTGCACAACAGCATCAGCATTCCTTTCAACCGGAACAAATGGTTGAATGTCTATGGTCAAGCCATTGGCATCTAATGGCTTTGCTGATGAAAGCCTTTGTTCACTCTCAATTAGCTGAGCTTTCCCATCTTCTGCCTGAAGCATGCTATGAGTTTCATTGTCTACAAAACCTTGAGAGCTTTGAGGCTTCAAAGGCATTCCTTCACCAAGATCTGCAGAGAGATTATTGATCCCATGATCAACATTTAAACAAGAACCAGACTCAGCTCTACCAAGTGGCAAGACCACCGAATCATCAGCTAATGAAAGTGAAGATAACACAGAATTATCGTTAACTGGACATGTGTTGACACCGACCAATCCAACCTCATCATCTGGATGATCCATCAAATAAACAGGATCTTGCACCCTAAAGCTGGAAGAAGGAATGCTGCGCTCCATTAATAGTCTCAAATGTAGACTAATAAAGAACGAAGGTGCAGCAGAAAATGAAAGAGCAAATGAAGGAAGTCTTCCATTTTTTTCGTCACTATCAAAAGCTAGTCGGCTCAACTTGACACAAGCAGACTGCCTAGAAGAAAAGCTTGTTCCATGCTGCCTAGATCTTTTGTTTAGGTTCTGATTAGATAAAACACACCAATATTAGGACAGGCACCAGAAAGTTAAGCAACCTGGGCTAGTTTATCAGAATAGCATGACTTTCAGTTCTTCATCTTAGACAATGACAGTAAAAAAGGGGATAGAGTACATAGAAATAACTGTCATATATTACAAGGTAAGCATAATCAAACAGCTTGGGGAATTGTATAAAGAAAATATATTACGACAGAAGAAGGACCAATAATCAGTAGATAGACAGAAACAAGCACCTGATAATTCTTCACTATCAACTCAATTCATAAACATATACTATTCATATATAAAAAAAAATGGTGAAGGATTTTGATATTTGAAATATAGAGACACCCGTAAATTCAATTCTTATCCTGTGACATATCACATAGAGACTAAGGAGAGGAAACAAGAAATGTTTTATTCAGACTAAACTATTTGCCATTATGCAAACTCTAGGTAAGAAGCACCAAAATTCCTATAAACATTGGATATTTGTAAGTAAAGTTTTGCATAAACTTTTATCAATCGATCAAAAGAAGGATACACATAAGCAGTGGAGTTGCATAATCTTGCAAACAATCAAAAATAGAAGAAAGAAATATAAATCCCTGTGATCATAAGGTAAATCTAATCCAACGATTTGAATAAAAGTGGAAAGTAACTAAAATTCACTTGATAAAAAATCAGATCCCCTTGCTTAGAGTGTGTGTGTGTGTGTGTGTGTGTGTGTGTGTGTGTGTGTGTGTAATATATATAAATGGTAGTAAAAATGAAAATATGTTGAGACAGTAATAACAACATTACAAAAGTACCATCTTTAGCATAGATGCTTCTCCAATCTTAAGTCAGTCCTATCTCCTTCTCTCTCATCCCCAAACCCATTTTCGGTGTATATGGATTGCAACAACTACTTTCAAATCGCCATGTAACTTTCCAAAATTCGAATTTACACCTCATGTCTCCAATTCCTTATATGACTTCCCATATATGAATATATTTACTTCAAGGGGGGAAAAAAATGATGCTGCTTCAATGCTCTTTGCTTCTCTCGCAGTCTCGCCAAGTATGGAAAAGTGGAATTTCACAGTTTTGTACTACAAGTCTACAAATAGATGAGCAGATGCCCATTATTAACATACGAAGAAAAGATTTAAAAAAAAAAAAAAGGGTTGGAATGAGAGAAAAGCATGGCAGCCAGTGTTAAACACTGTACACCTTTACTAGAGTAAATCTATTCCTAGGATCCTCCGAATAAAAGTTTCCACTGTCCATTTCCCAACCCCCCTTGCATAATCCCACTACCATAAAACAGACATGACATCAATAGCTCATTTGGTTTGATGGAAAAGAAAATTTATGATAAAAATGAGACAATGGGGATGATCTCGCATTACCCTATATAATGACATAAAATTTATTCTACATGATTTTACACGCAAATTAATTACCAGTACTGCAATTCATGTCCGCTTACTAAACAGGACGTTAAGGTTTTATTCCAATTCCATTTCAGCCAATCCCACCTACTTGCTCCCTCAAAACAAATGAACATAATGGAACCGCTAAAGCATTCCAAACACAACTATATTCTTTATGTGGGAGACTGAAAATTGCAGTGATTCTACTTATTCTCGATCAATACGAGACTCATCACTGCATCAGCATATGTTTCACCTAAATAAGAACTGAACCAACAATAAAAGCTACAAAGAAAAATCTGATGACATTAAGGTTGAAACATAAAGTATTAGGAGTCAAAAGGTCTTTAAATTGTTGCAATCGCTCAAATTTCAGTAGTAAGCAAATAAAGCCTGCAAATTGGCAGAAAAGTCTGGTGATAGCTAAACCCTTCGATTAAAACCATTCTGTTTTATATTTCAACTTCATAGTCCATCCCAACCCCACAAAAAAAATTGAAAAAAAAAATAACAATAGCAATAAGCCAATAATACAAACCCCATATACCCCAATTTCCCATCTTTGAGTTGAAAATTGAATACATGTTTTTAATAGTACTCTACGGAATCTGTTCAAATGTCGTTCAGATTATACAGAAAAAAATTAAATAAATAAAAAATAACTCACATCCACTGCCACATTGGCAAAAATGCACTGAAACTCTACTTCAAAACTGAATGAATCGTTAGTGCTTGTACGTGGTGTGCAACTAATTTGGCCAAACATGGAAAGATGATAATAATAAGAAGTTTAAACCGTAAAATTTCACATGGCTACAACAAAACATAGAGTACATAAGTTGGTATGGAGAGAGCATATCAAAACAGGATGAAACATCAAAAGAGTCCTTACCAACACTGAAGAGAGCTTCTGGGAAACATTGGTCAATTTCCACTGATTAGAACCATTCCGGAGCATTTTAATATTATCATAAGTGCATTCAGACGGTGGCAGTTCCTTGGTGAGCGTACAATGCTTCTTCAGCTTTCTGTCAATATACAACCACTTGGAATTTGCCATCTCACTGAAGTTGTAAAATGTGAATGCAAGCTGCTTTCCAAGATCCTGCAAGCCAGAGAATCTGAACCTAATTGAGGTCGCAGGAAGCTGCTGATCATCATGCCTTTCTTTCTGATCAGACTGACAAAACACACCCAAGACCAAGAAAACAAAGGAGACTGCCTGGTTCATGCAACCTTCAAACAAGAGAAACCGCAGACCAGCAGCATTATCAACAAAAAGTATCTCCAAATTAACCATAGGCCATGTAGAGATCAAAGTGCCATGTTGAAGCATGAACAAGTACCTCTGCCATTCAACTACACTGCTGATCAAAACTGGCAAAGGATAGCTCAAATCAAATTTAAACACCTTTAAACTTGTGATGGGAATAATCAGCTTCAGAATCCCAGAACAATCAGTGTCCCAAATGAGCTCGTCATTGCTCAATCTATAGGCATGGTGAAAACATTCGCCAACTGAAAGTGACATTTCGGCACCAAATTCTATAGAATCAACAAAATCGGATGCATTTCCAAATACTCGAGGCTTCTCGGATGGTGGCTGTTCTTTTTTGTGAAACCGCCTCCTAACATAAACTATTGGACCTCTATCATTATCGGAAATAAAATTGTCTGCAATTGGCCTCCTCTCCATTAAGGAATCAACTGAATTATTTGGCAATCCAGAACTACAAGTATAGTCATCAGCATCACGCCCAGAAACAACCATGTCCAGGCTTCCCCGCGGCTCAATTTTCACTTCAGAAATGGAAGATGATTGAGATTTTGCATATTCAAGCGGACTTCTCTTTTTCTTCTTCGTTCCAGTGGGTGGTGGTTTTTGATGACCAAATCGAGCCAACCATGAAATAATAGGCTCAGACTCCGTTGCATCAGCAGTATCACCAGGCTCCCCCTTTCCTAATTGTGCTGTTGACCTTTTCCTCCCACCCTTTCCAGGCACCTCACTTGGTAATAGAAAGAGCTTGAACCTCTCATGTTGCAGGTCAATCCATTCTTCATCACGATCATCATATTTAACGTGATGAAGATTTCTCTCTGGGTCATAACCAGTGACGTGACCAAAATACCACCTCTGGTCCAATGGCCAGAACACCTTGATCCTTCGGTTAATTACCCAATAAGAATCCAAATCCCTAGAAAAAACTTCATAAAAACGACGCCGTTTGCCTTTCTGCTGCTCCCTCGGTCGCAGAACTCTAGCCTCAGCATCACTAACTTCAATATCTGCCTCGTCTCTAGAGTTAGCATGTGCAGTAGCCAGATCTCTACTGGAAGAGGTCAATGCTGACAACCCATTTGCAGATGGCAAATTAGAGCTCTTGCCTCCCGAAGAAAATCCTGTGCAGCTTGGATCAAAACGAGATGAAAGCATCCTTGCTGCATTTGCCTCAAGATTTTCCTCATCATCCAAAGAATCATCACAAATCTTACTCGACTCATCGAGGGAAGGCTTAACTTCCACCGTCAACCCAGGACTTCTGGTTATAGAATCAATATTTTTCTTATGGCTTCTTCTAGCTTTCTTGGTCACTGAATCGCTATTGCCTAGAGAAGAATGAGAATCATCTCTCTTCAAATGCCGAAGCAAGTCAGGACTACTAGACCTATTTTCTTTATGATCATGAGGATTCTTTTTCCTTTTCACCTTCGCGATCACACAGCCATTAGAAGTACCCTCAGATTCACCATTCTGTGCCACTTTGCCATTAGCAATGCCATTTTGTGATAATATACCACCTGCATTGCCACTCAGCTTGCCTTCCCCTTCTGTTGAACTTGCTTTGCTGCTTGATGTTCCCTCTTGCTTTGACACACGGTCGACCTCAACCTTCTTTCTCCGGACCAAATCTCGAGGCCGCTTGGGAATAGTGACATTACTGTTCAAGTTAAGAGAAATGCCACCATAACCAGCACCGCCACCATCCACTCCTGATTCCTCCCGTGACACCTGATTTCCCAAGTCAGCAGAATTCAACCCACTCTTACAAACTTCACTAACACTCTTCTTCTCCTTCTTCCCATTCGACAGACTACTCAGTAAAACCTCCTTTTTACTCCTCTTCCTAGCCTCATTTTGATCACTAGAATCGAGTTTTCGCTTCACACCATTACCACTACCACCACTCCCATTCCGGGAACCCCGCTTTTTAACAGCAGAAACCCAGGGCTTCTGATTATATACCCTTTGCAGATCCAATGACATAGATTTCTCAGCATTTTCAGTACCATTAACCTTTTCTGCTCTATCTTCCATTAACATGCAATTATTCTACTAATTATAACCCAAAATCCCCAGCCTACATGCCCACCATTCATGTCCGTACCAAAAAATCAGATCTGAAACCACAAATTTTCACCAAAATATAAATAAATCAAAATGCAACCCCATAATCATCATCATCAGCATGAAATATAAACACAAACTCTCAACATTTCAACAATTCAAAAAAAACAAAAAAATCATATCAACAAGATCTAACCCCAAAACAAACCTAATTTCACGAAAAAACAATCAAAAACAACCGCATGCGAAAAAAATTAAACCAAAAATTAACAACAACGTACCTTAAAATTCATTTCACCCTCCAGGAATCAACAAAGATCATCGTTATTGTAGCTTAGGGTTTAAATCTGAGATTTTTCCGGCGTTAGCCCCAAATTAATTTAACGAAATTCGCAAGTAATTAGGGATTTTTCCAGATAGAACGTAGAGCTAGGGTTTCGTTTTTCCGTCACATTAAGAGAGAGAAAGAGGAGAGAGAAAGTAAAGGGGTTTTTGATTTGAATAATAAAAAAAAAAAATTGCGAAAAAATGGTTTTTAAAAAAAATAATTGCGCTTTTTTTGGTAAGAATTATAATTGATGATTATCCTAACCGTGTGATTTGATATCAAACCATATCACACGGTTGAAAATGGATTACAATGGACGGCTACGATATGATACAGAAGTGGGGACACGGTTATTAGAGTAGTTAGCTGAAAAATACAAGTATTTGATATTTTTAGGAAAAAGGAAAAATAAATAATTTTTGTTTCTATGAATATATTTATTCATCAATTTTTTATTTTTTGAATTTCCTTAATTGTCCTTATAAAGTATTTGAAATTACTGGATTTCCCACTCTAGTGAGCTTTTGAAAGAAGAAAAAAAGCGCCCTGTGTAAAATTGAGTGACACGTGGATTTTTGGAATAATTTAATTACGCTTTGGATTGTATTGTGATGACGTGGATTAGCTTGAGAGTGCGTGTAATTAATCCACGTGTAATATATTTGTTGATTTTTAATTACTTGCCAACTGTCATTTTCTGGTTCTCTATGATGATGTTGACAAAGCACATCAACACCATTTGATTTGATTAAATCCATAATCTCAAGCTTTATTAGGCATAATATAACATGATCAAGTGAAAAAAAATATTTAAAAACTACGGAGTATAACGATACTTAGATGTTGAAAAGTTTTTGATCTGATAGACTGTGTGAAAGTATTTGACTAAATAATGGTTGAAATAACGGAAGGTGTATGTATAAGGGAGAAAATGAAACAGTATTTATCAGTTAGTTAGAATTTTCAAAAGAGGAAAAAAAAAATTATTAGATCGTGAAGTGTTTAATATAGTTTTATCTTTAAAAATAGTTATAATCTGTCTTTATTTACCATTAAATGCTACTCGTATAACAATAGTTACGTTAGATGTGAAATATTTTTTATCTAAAAGACGGCTTGAAAGTATTTAATTGAATTGTGTGGATCAAATAACGAAAGTGTATGGAGCTTTGCGTAATTTTTTTTACATATAAGGAGTGAAAATGAAACAGTATTCATCAATTAGTTAGAGTTTCCATCACGAGAAGTAAGCAAAATTCATTTAGATCGTGAAGGGTTTAATACAGTTACCTTATAAAAAATACCACTATAATTATAATTTGTCTTTATTATGTCCATATAAATTGATAAAATCAAATAGTGAAACAATCATGTTACTTTACTAGGTAATTGATATACACATTATGACAATAAAAATAATTTGTTTCAAAGTCGTAAAGATAGTTAAAAGTTAAATAGTTTTTTATTTGATAGAATGTGTTAAAGAATTTGATGATTTTTTTTTACAGAGTTATACTAACGATAAATATACTAAAGTACTATGATTTTTTGAAATTATAACGACTTCCCTTGTCATAAAAAAAATATATAACTGAGTTAGAAAATGAGGATGTGATCATAAGTTAAATAGGGTTTTCATAACATGCAGTGAAGATTTAATAAATTAGATCAAACAAGGTTTGATAAAAAGTTATCTTGCAATAACGATACTAAAGCATACCTGCATAAAAACACAAGCGAGATATGTTTTACACGAAATTTTACCCTAAGATTATATAGACCTTTTGTAGATAAGCAATTTTTAATTTTTTTGAATGGTTTTGGAGGGATTGCATAATATTTAATTCGAAACGGCTTAGCTATTAGATGCTACTTGTGAACTAGCTGTTCGTGAAGCATGGGGGGGTTCAGCTGGGCGCCCCATAGCCGAGAGACTGGAATGTTTGTTGTCTTCTTTGAGGGTGTGGAGTGTTAAAAAATTTGAAAATTTAGACAAGCAAATAGATGATACAGAAAAGGCATTAAGAGAAGCATGGAGTAGGGCTGGTTCGGATGATAATATTGCTCTTTGTTCGGCTTTGGAAGCAAAACTTGATGAGCTTGGGGACAAAGAAGAGGCATACTGGTACCTTCGATCGAGGGTTTCTGAGATTAGAGATGGGGACCGCAACACAAAATATTTTCATCACAAGGCATCCCAAAGACGGAGTCGGAATGAGATTAAGGGTCTTCTTGATGCAAATGGGGTCTGGAAGGATGATGAAAAAGACTTCGAAAATATTGCCCAAGATTTTTACTCGGGTCTATTCATCACCTCTATGAGGCCGTCCCTAGGCGATTGTGACCGGGTTTTGGATGTTGTGACTCCGAAAATTTCAGAGGAAAATAATGCGTTTCTGACTCGACCCTTTAGCAAAGACGAGATATATGCAGCTACATGTGCGATGCACCTCTGTAAAGCTCCGTGACCTGACGAACTCCATGCCATTTTTTATCAGAGATTTTGGCACGTGATAAGGGATGAGGTGTTCGAATATGTCAGTGGCATTCTTCATGGTATGTACTCTCCTACGCCGGTTAATAATACAAACATTGCATTAATTCCGAAGATTAAGTCCCCTACTTCCTCATCTGAGTTTCGACCTATTGCTTTGTGTAATGTGCTCTATAAATTTGCTTCTAAGGCTACTGTGATGCGTTTGAAATCAATTTTACCAGATATCATTTCGGAAAATCAGAGTGCATTTGTGCCTGGTAGACTTATTACTGACAATGCCTTGATTGCTATGGAAATTTTCCATACTTTGAAAAAGCGGTGTAAAGGGAAGAAAGGTACAATAGCGTTGAAACTTGATATGAGCAAAGCCTACGACAAAGTAGAATGGTATTTCCTAGAACAGTTGTTGCTGAAGATGGGGTTTGCAGAGTGCTGGGTCAGAATTGTGATGGATTGTGTATCGACAGTTTCTTACTCCTTCATTATTAATCGTAATGTGGTGGGTTCGGTTATTCCTTCTAGAGGACTAAGGCAAGGGGACCCTTTGTCTCCCTACCTTTTTATTATGGTTGTGGATGCCTTCTTAGTTCTCATTGAAAAGGCCTCGGATCATAGATTAGTGCACGGTGCAGGGGCTAGCCGAAAAGGGCCAAAAATCTCTCATCTCTTCTTTGCCGACGACAATTTGCTTTTTGCAAGAGCTAGCCGTGAGGAATGCTCTAATATAGTTAATATACTCAACATTTATGAAGTAGCTTCCGAGCAGAAATTAATTATGAAAAATCGGAGGTCTCTTTTAGCAAAGGTGTTGAAGTATCGAAGCAAAAAGAGTTGGTTGATTTACTGAAAATGAGGCTTGTGAACAAACATGAGAAATATTTAGGCATCCCTACTGTTATTGGTAGGTCGAAGAGAATGGTGTTTGTGGCTTTGAAAGACAGAATATGGAAGAAATTGCAGGGGCTATAAGGAGAAACTTTTATCGAGAGCAGGGAAGGAGATTTTAATCAAGTCGGTTATACAGGCTATTCCGACTTATTTGATGGGAGTCTATAAACTGCCTAATAGTGTTATTGACGAGCTTCGATCACTTACGGCAAAATTTTTTTGGGGTAACTTGGATAGCAGGAGAAGAGTACATTGGATTAACTGGGATTCTTTGTGCAAACCAAAATGCTTGGATGGGATGGGCTGACTTAGGGGTGTTCAATGAGGCACTTTTAGGGAAGCAGGCGTGGAGGCTCATCTCCAAACCTGACTCTTTATTTGGGCATGTAAAAAAGGGCAAATACTATCCGAACTCTGATTTTCTGAATTCTTCTCTTGGTTTAAATGGTAGTTATTCGTGGAGAAGTATTTGGGGTTCGAAATCTCTTGTTAAGGAGGGTCTAAGTTGGCGAGTTGGTGATGGGTCAAAAATTAACATTTTTTATGACCCTTGGTTAGCGGATGACAAGGGGCGATTTGTATTGTCCCCCTCCATTAATGGTCTCCTCTGTCAAAGACTTGATTGATGAGAGGTCGAATGACTGGAATTTTGAGCTAATCTCCTCGCCTTTTGTGGAAAGAGATGTCAAGTGTATTCTGTCCATTCCTATCAGCCCCAAGCTGACTTGGGCTTTTTGTAACGATGGTGCTTATTCTGTGAAAACAGCGTATATGCTAGGCAAAACATGTGATCTGGATGCGTTCAACAAAGTATGGGTGCTCATTTGGAGCCTTGATACAATCCCGAAAGTCAAACATTTTCTGTGGCGAGTCTGTACCAACTCCCTGCCTACTGGTTCTTCCTTTACAGTAGACACATGAGAGAGTCAGACACATGCCCGTGGTGTTGTAACTCTTCTAAGACCATGCATCATCTATTTTTTTAGCTGCCCTGTTGTACGAGATCTTTGGGTTGAATGCGGATGCTCTGAGCTGCTGATTGCTGATCAGAATGCAAATTTTCAGAACACCCTTTTGGACTGGGCGAAGGTCAATACAAAGAAGTGTCTTATTGGAGCTGCTCTTCTTTGGCAAATCTGGGATCGCAGAAATCAAAAGGTCTTCAATAGCAATGATGTGCCACACCCGGTGGTTCGGGACAGAGTTTTGCGTCTGATTGAAGACTGTGGTAAGTACACTCAGCAAATTTATGGTGCTGCCCGTAGCAAGAAGTGCAGGAGTTCGAAGAAATGGCATCCCCCTCCGCCTGACTTTGTCAAGATAAACTGTGATGCGTGCCTCAAGGATGATGGGTGGATTGGTCTTGGTGTTGTTGCAAGAAATGAGATCGGGGAGGTGCTGTTTGCAGGGGTACGCCGAGTCCGTGGTTAATGGCCTCCGGAGGTTGCTGAATGCAAGGCACTGCAATTTGGGGTTAAGCTAGCTCTACGCTATGGTTTGAAGACTATAATCCTTGAATCGGATTGCCAGCTTGCTGTCTATCGTCTTTCAAAAGTGGCTACCTATTTTACAGATATTGATTTTGTTCTTGATGACATTTTTCATCTTAGTGCTAGTTTTAATTTTGTTTCGTGGTCTCATGTTCGAAGGAATGGAAAATTCGCAACCCATCACCTTGCTAGTTTAGTTCCGTTTAGCATTGAACAAGTTTGGGAGAATTTTTGCCCCGATGTAATCTCTCCTTTTGTTCTAATGTACAAATTGTCTATTGATTAATAAAATGCTCT